CTACACCAATGGTGAACAGGACAGAACATGTCTACCATTGTTCAGGTTAAGCTTCTCATTTGTGCAGAATGAAATGTTTCTCTCTGGGAAAGGATTGGAGAATACTTCAACTTAAAAAGGGAAGATGGTGGCCACACACTTTCCCTCCATAAAAGGGAAGATGGATAGGGCGATCTTTACCCGAGCCACCTCAGGGGTGAAGCTGCTATTGAGTGCTGGCTGGGCACTATCTTCCCAGTATAGTAACCTTAATCATTAGCAGTGCTACAAAGGAAATGACAGATCTAGCTCCATTTAAGCACCTAGAAAGGACGCAGTGTTTGATCCTTACCTCTGGACCGTATGTTTTAAATACTCCTTCGTAAACTGCTCCATTTTTGACTTTCAGCTCACACTTGGTGCCCTGTGAATAAATAGGCCTGGCATTATTCACTGTATACGAAACACATTTATGTTTGTGCCAATTTCAATTTACAAATTCAAAAACAAGTTGAGCAACCCATCTGCTGTGAGAAGACAAATGATTGATCAATCTCTGCTGTGTTTGTGCAACCAGCTGTCTCTACAGTTTGCACAGGCTTAGTTTATAGCAGCGTAGACATTTTAAGGAAAGAGCATGTGGGGAAATACAGTATGCAGTACATAATGCTGTTACAAGTGTATTTACAATAGGCACAATACGGTTCAAACATTGTGTCTTTTGAAAACTGCTAATTTCTCTGTTCCTTGTGTTTGAAGCACAGGAGCAAGAGTGCAAAAGGAAATGCTAGACATAACTGGAACATCATCTAAGAAAACTTAACATGACAGACACAAAGCAAACATACCACCACTGAAGTCAAGACATGGACCATCCTCATGTTTGCATATACACCATTGAAAATGACCTAAAGGAAAAACAGTTAATTTTGTTGTTCCCTATTTCTAAAGAAAATTGTGCAAGATAGGCATATGTCACTTTTTTTCCATTCAATATGCGCAACGATAAACATATATCCTACTACTGAATTCATGCATTCTCTCAGGACTTTTATGTGCCATGTTTAAACTAAATTGGCTTAAATAGAAAACTGACACTGTATTCATATGGCAGCTTTGTTCCACTGATTTATGAGAGTTAACCAGTTACTTACCGCTGCAGGGCCTTTACCACTGTGTCTTCCCCTGAAAGAAAAATGCCATTGTTGTCAAACTATTATCACTGAAGTTCCTGCTTTCATACTAAAACAAAGCACTCTTTAATGGGGACAACTGTAGACTGAATTGTAGAAATATTAAGAGGTGGAGGTGTGCATCTTAAGATGATACAAAGCCCAAGAATCATAATCAATGCATTATCTTGTTTAATCTACATGGAAATGTCTTGAAAATGTACATTTATTGTTACATAGACAAATGCATTACATAGATAATGCTATGCAGAATCTGAAATTACCCACAGATTCCAGGATATGTTCCTGGTTGGAATAATGTTCAACGGGCCTTCAGCCAAACACTCTGTAGCCTACATTTTTCCCAAGCATGTCCTAAAATGCACCTTGTTCAGCAGCTGGCACATGGCCAGGCTTTTACACTCGATTCGATAGGTAATGGCACCTCTCTTTACATGATATCCACTTGCCAATGTGCTCACTTAAACACAGTCAGCTCCTCAATAATACAAATTAAACCAGTCTAATTGAAATAGGCTGATTTTGTATGCATGAGTCCAGCTGTTCTTATCGTATTCCACAACATCTTTGCACGGCCTTAATGGATGAAGATCTACACAATGAATGGGACGAACTGTCCTAGTGACCGGTGGATAGAAGCCGGACCAAATAAACCCCAGAAATAAAAGGTACGCAAGCAGCTTCTGCAATGACCGTTTGTGTTAGCTTAATCTTAGGACGGCATGTCATGTACAGAAATGTCATGCTTCAAGGACATTATTTCAGAGGAGCAGCTACAGCAACGTCAAGGTTGAAAGCCCGTCGGTCTATAATTCCCCCTTCTCCTCCGCCCCCTTTCTCTCGTGCGCCCACACGTTTTTATCAATTTCTTGGCAAACCCATTGCAGCAATGTTGCGGTTACGTACCAACATAGATTACAGTAAACTGACAACAAACACAGCTGTTTTATCGCAGTCTTTTTCGTTGCCAAATTCCCTGGGCTGTCCCGTTAGCTAGCCGCTGTAATACTGAAGGAGGCAAGTGCACTGAATTACAAGCATGGGCTGTCAAACGGCTAATTAACGCAAGCTAAATGGACTCCAAGCTCATCGCAAACTGATATCAGCCACTTGGCAAGCAACATCACTGCTACACACATGGAGGAAAATATGTGTCTCCACTGAAACATGCTTAAACACTTAATCAGAGATGTGTTATCCACTGTGCAAGAGGAGGTAACGTTACGTCGAAGTTGCAACATTATTGGGGCAAGCTGACAGGCCTCGCTAGCTAAACTGCATAACGTTACGCTAGGTGACCAACACGTCGCAAGGCCCACATAACGTTCAGAAACGCGTACAAGTTTTGGACCACTTAACGGGGATGTCATCTCTCAAAACTGGCCCTGTTGCAAGTGACTGTATCCAAGTATTAATACATAGCCTCATTAGCCCCTGCTGCTGTGTTTTTATTTAGCTTAGTTCACGTTTTTATTTCACAGACCTGCCCAGATTCTGTCTTCCCCCTCCGCTTCCTCCGGCACCGGCGGCGGCGGCTCCAGCCGTGTTGCCACCGCCGGGCTTGCTGCGATTTCCACCGGCCTTCATTGACATGGTGATCCCATAAAAGACAGCGTCTGAAAACGACCAATTAACACCGCAATTCCTTGACGATAGGGCGATGTGTGATGTGTGACGGCTCGCTAACGTTAGCAATCCTAAAATGTGTCTAGCTGGTACCAGGGTAATATCAACGTGCCTCTTGAGGAAGATGCTATGCTAAGACACTAGCTGGCTAACAGTTGCTATCTATATTAGCAATCTGTACAATTACTGTTAAAAACGGGAAAAAAATATATTTTAAAAAGACAACAAGTGACAATCACTCTCGCAAAATAAAAACGAGTGTTAGACCTCTTGTCAATTCGTTGTGTAATCCGAACAGAAAAATACGTTAATCTCAAATCGGGTTTCCAGCTATCTCAGGTTCTTGCCGTTGCTAACAGCGAAAAGACCAAAACAGTCTGAAAGGGGACAAAAAACAGCGGAGGGATATATGATATGCGTAACGGCTGAAACATACAATCACATATTCCTACACTGTTTCTTTGACGACAATCGATCTGCTAAAAAGAAAAGACAAAGGTAGTCACATTCAATCTAAACCACCACACAAAACAAATATATCCTCGTTTGTTTTGCCAAAAATCCACATAAAACATGGCACTATTTTCAGGAAGTCCCGGAATTCTCGACGGCTGTTTTGAGGCATCCACGTGAGCCGGCAAACACACTGCACACAGCCGCTCTCACATAGAAACACACTATCTAAACGCTGCTTGTATATGGAAATTAAAGGGCAGTCCGTTTCACACGTTTGACATGTAATGTGGGAATAAGATTTATTTACAATAAATAGGTGTTCTATATTATGAATCTTCTCATTGAGTAGGCTATATTGAAATGTATGATACAAATGGTCAAAATAACATAACTCAAACATGAAATGAAACTGTACTTTGAAACACTAAAAGTAGTACTACTTTTAATGTAGATTTAATCCGTGTTTAATAAAGAAAAACAATTGGACGGTAGGTCCAATTGTTTTTCTTTATTAAACACGTAAACGGAATAGCGTCTGAGAGGCCTTTTTGCTTTTTGCTTTTTGCTTTTTACCTTAATAAATGGTCAAATGGTCCTTGGAGCGAGGGGCGGGGCGAAACTCACGGAAGTGATTTCAAAACAAAAGCACTCGTTTGCTAAAATCACACTTTGAATCACTACAGTATCCTGCTAAAGGAACGGTGATTATTATAAACAAGGGGCATTTAGCGATCACAACGAAAACGGCCGGCCAAGACACATATTGAGCCCAGAAAATTGATGTTATTAAGGGCTGTAAATATAATAAGCCTCTGTCTAAAATGGACAACATTGTTAGGAAATTTAAAATATACAGCGGTTCTACACTGCGGTCACTCAGGCGCCTCTCGAGTTTGTTTTTTCAAATCAGCTGCTCTTCATTCCTGTGTTTGACGAGTGATACAAATATTTGTTACCACAAGTTCTTAAGAAAACTGACACTGTTGGACTCGGATCTAGTTGGACTTCTACCAGAAATAAAATGAGGTACTTTTGCTGTGTACTTTTTGAGTAATCCTCTGTCAAAGTCCCCTCCTTAGTACATAATACATGTTTTTCTGCTATATTTGATGAATGATAAAAATATAATTTTACCATTAGTTCTTAATGAAATTGATACTGTTTGACTTTGTATTAGTTAGCCTACTACTACAATACATTAAAGTACTTTTACTGTGTATTTTTTGAGAAATCCTCTCTCAAAGTCCCCTCCTGAGAACAAAATCAAGTAAGTTCTGCAAAGTTTGATGAGGGAATTATTTGTTGTTGCCATTAGTTCTTCGTTAGATCGATCCTGTTGGACTCGGTACTAGTGAACTATACCCCCACAAGTACTATGAAGTACTTACTACTTTTCCAGTACTCCTCTGTCAATGTCCACTCCTGAAAACAAGAATGCATGTTTTTCTGCTATTTTGAATAAGCGTTAAAAAACCTTTCTTCATGAGACTGATATTGTTGGACAGAGTATTTTAAGAGGATGGTAGACTGCACACTGACACACTCTTGTCACTCTTGTTGGCCTCTTATGATGCTGCTGTCTTTTAATATATGATTATTTCTCTGCTCCTAGTTCATTCCTCGCAGATTCTTCCATCAGTCCCAGTCATTGGATGTCAGTCAATAGAGCTTCGAAAAATGTTTCCAATTCATCTAAATGTTTTTTTGTGAGTGAAAGCCAGAGCTAAATTATAGATTGTTTGATTGTGTAATTACAAGGTGAGAGAAAATAAACCCACATCCTCCTATGAAACTTATTTTATTTCCTTTTCCATGTTATACTTACTTGCATTAGAACATTTGCATGTTGAACTACATGCTGGATATCTTCCCAGCCTCAAGGAAATACAATAAAATAAATGGCTTCATAATTTTAAAAAAATTGATAAAAATGTATACATTAATAATGTTGTGGGCAAACATTTCAAATTTAAATATAAAATGAAAATAAGTTTACTTTTGAAATGATTTCTCACAAAAACCTTTCTAAATTATAGTAAATTATTAAAAAATGTTTAGTCAATATATGTTTTTCTGCCTAAAATAGTTGAAATTGAACGTAAACTATATCAAACACCACATGCATGGCAATTAACCTATTTTTGCCCGCTATTTAAATTGACTTTGGTTAGTTAATACAAATATTGATATTATATATATATATATAGCATATAATTGATGCAGTCTTTCTGAACACTTTTTTAAAAAAATACTGCAAATGAAGAATATTTTAAATGTTCTGCACAGACAGTGCCCTAACTTACAGCAGTTGAAAAGATGTGTAGAAGGATAAATTATTGATGGACTTCAATGGCTCTCTAGATAAAGGGCGTTGTATGGTTGCTTGTATTATCCTCAGATAGTGGTTTGTTTAAATAACTAGTGACATTTTAATAAATATTGCAAAAAAGGGTTCCAAAAAAGACATATATAACCTGTCCGGCTTAGCCAGTGAGAATTTCTTCAAGCACCACAAGATTCATAGTTTATAAAGTACAATTCTGGGCCATTGATTGTCTCATTTCTCCAAACACATACAGTAAAAATGCCTGTTTTGAAGCCTTCAAATGGTGCAGGAAAAGGACTTTACATTGTATTATACTTAAAGACAGGGCTATTCAGTTAAGAGAAGAGAAAAAGGAAAGCAAATTGTTATAATGGGTGATGTAACATTAATGAAAGACATAATATGAGGTCCTTGGCACTCAGACTTTAGAGGGGTCATTGTGTGATCATGGGGCATCACCCTTACAGCATCAAGCTGGGGCTTGATGCTTATTGCTCCACAATATCATATGGAGTCAGACACTGGAAGTGTGCTGGAGGCGTTGACTGGGACTGATGGAAGGATGAGGCTGATGAGAAGGAAGAATCTGTGACGAACTAGCAGCTGAGAACTAATCATATATTAAAAGACAGCAGCATCATAAAAGGCCAACAAGAGTGACAGAGTGTGTCAGTGTGCAGTCTACCATCCTCTTAAAATACTCTGTCCAACAATATCAGTCTCATGAAGAAAGGTTTTTTTAACGCTTATTCAAAATAGCAGAAAAACATGCATTCTTGTTCTCAGGAGGGGACATTGACAAAGGATTACTGGAAAAGTACACAGTAAGTACTTCATAGTTCTTGTGGGGGTAGTTTCAGTAGTACCGAGTCCAACAGGATCAATCTCACGAAGAACTAATGACAACAAAAAAGAATTCCCTCATCAAACTTAGCAGAAGTGGCTTGATTTTGTTCTCAGCAGGGGACTTTGACAGAGTATTTCTCAATAAATACACATTAGGAGCACTTCAATGTATTGTAAGTAGTAGGCTAATAAAAAGTCAAACAGTATCAATTTCATTAAGAACTAATGGTAAAATTATATTTTTATCATTCATCAAATATAGCAGAAAAACATGGAAAACTATGGAGTAGACTTTGACAGAGGATTACTCACAAAGTACACAGTAAAAGTTCTTCATTTTATTTCTGATAGAAGTCAACTAGAACCGAGTCCAACAGTGTCAGTTTCCTTAAGAACTTGTGGTAACAAATATTTGTATCACTCGTCAAATATAGCAGGAATAATGAAGAGCAGCTGATTTGAAAAAACAAACTCGAGAGACGGCTGAGTGACCGCAGTGTAGAACCACTGTATAGTTTAAATCTCCTACAATGTTGTCCATTTTAGACAGAGGCTTATTATATTTACAGCCCTTAATAACATTAATTTTCTGGGCTCAATATGTGTCTTGGCCGGCCGTTTTCGTTGTGATCGCTAAATTCCCCCTGTTTATAATATTCACCAGTCCTTCAGCAGGATACTGTAGTGATTCAAAGTGTGATTTTAGCTAACGAGTGCTTTTGTTTTGAAATCACTTTGAGTTTTGCCCCGCCCCTCGCTCCAATGACCATTTGACCATTTAGTAAGGTAAAAAGCAAAAAGCAAAAAGGCCTCTCAAACGCTCTTCCGTTTACGTGTTTAATAAAGAAAAACAATTGGACGGTAGATACACGGATTAGATATGTCCCCTTTTTCCTCTTCTTGTTTTCTCTTTTTCCCTAATTGAACTCCTCATGTATAATTTAATGTTACGTTTTATTTATTTTTTAATTCACTTGCACACATAGATAGATAGACATACTTTATTGTCATTTCAACAAGACACAGAGTGTACTATTAAAACGAAATTTCGTTGTTACATTAGCACATAGTAGGATAACAAGTTATGTTGCTTGAAAAACAGTAAGCAATTTATATACATTCCATATCATTTAAACACACTATTTATGTCCAATACTAATGTAATTATTGTTTTTAAATTATAATATTTTTCATTTTCCTTTTTCAAATGTTTAGGTTCAAGACTTAATGACATTTTCAGTGAATTTCATGATCTCTCCATACAGTTTCTTTCTTTTAGCATAATTAAACCCATTTAAGCTATACACTTTATGAGACGTTCACAAGTCAGATGTGTTTTATTTCTTTTTATTATCAACATCACTTGCATAATACCAGTAACAGTTTGTTTTCTGCTCAGAACTTTAACTCTGGCAGTAAGTAAGCAGGAACAACTCTTCGTATTATGAGGAATATGAAGACAAGAATATCCACTTTGTTATGAACATTTAAATAAGATATCATATTTAACATGATTTGATAACTGTTTTGAAAACGATAACAATTGCACTCCTGATAGAGATATATGTTTTGCAGGCACCCCCCATCATGTATTCACCACCACTTGTAATCAATGGTTTTAACTTCTTCAAAAGTGACATTCTAAATACAGTTATTTTAGGATGCTTCCTATCAGATTTATTTCCTGTCCTTTAATAAAAATACAATTTATTTGGAATTCACTGAGTCCACCATTAATAATTAAATAGGTACAAACCAAATTGATTGTCTCACTGTTTGTGCAAAAAGCTAATTATAAATAAAGTTTTCTTTTTTTTAAGAAACCGGGGACCTTAAACGGACCCATCAATTTGGCAATTTCCAAAGAAATGTTTTTAACAACGATTAGAAGATTTTAATTGGAAAATGTAACGAGCAATATATATAATACGCTGTCAAAAATACATATTTATTGAGAGAAATACTAAGGTAATTGATGTACTGTCCAATATTACAAAAGCGTGTCGATGATTTTTGATCAGGCGTTCAGCTCGGGACCCTGGTTGTGTATTCCCTTTGACAAGCAGCTATGGGATTAGCAAAATAGTCCAGAGATGTGTGTTGTCTCCTTGGTCACTTCTGAAACACATTGCACATTTAAACTTTTGTTATTGTGACTTATCAGTGCTGATTTTTAGTACACCGCCCAACGGAAGTATGTTAACTTTGGGTAAATCTGGAAAACGAACTTGCCACCTCAGCTAACTCTGAGCTAGCTCGTTAGCAGGCTCGGCTCGACGACATAATAGGCTGCTGTGTCTCTGGGAACACCGTGTGCTCGTCGTGTCAGATAAACCCAGCTAATCGAGGAGATTTTCTGACAATATCGTCGGTTTACTTAATATTTCACGATTGCCATTGTTGTATAATCATCGACCCCGGACGCGAGATGGATTGTCACTAGCTTACTTCGCCAGACCCGGTGTCTTCTCAGCGTTAGCGGAGCACTGCTCTCATAGCGCTGGCTAAAAATACACCTCTTGTGCGCCTCCAAAAGTGGTGGGCTAGTCACACTGGACTTGTCTTCCTCTTTTCTGGTCACCTTGTTCAGAGTTTGGCCCTCTACATGGTCACCGCAGTGAGTTTAAGACGACTAGAAGAGCTAGCCGGACCCCGAGGTAGCGAGCCCCGCCGGCCCGATCTAACGCCGCCTCGTTCCGGCTGGTGGGCTTCAGGTCCACGGGTGACGAAACTGGGATTTTGCGGATCGGTGGCCGAACATCATTTTGCCCCAATGGCCCTGTTGTGTAATTTAGTGGTAATATAACAAATCTTGGAACTTTGTGAAGGTCAGAGAAAAACGCGTTTGTGTCTGTCTGAGATCCATCTGTCCGCAGCAGCACCATGTCGGAGGATAACAATGCAGACAAGTTAATCAAGGTAAATCTTTTCACTAATTGAAATGTGGATCTTTATTCAAGTAGACAATGCATAATTTCCTCTGTAATGTAAGAATAATTATGTTTGGTCTTGCTTTAATGAAGTTTGGAGTGTTAACAAATGACATGTTTAAAACACTTATTACTATTCAGGTACATTGGAACGTGTAGTCGTGTAACATTTTAACTGATCTCAGTTAAAACTGGTTAACAATGAGATCCTTTTCTGCATTACATAAGACAGTAAACCAAATAAAAACAGACAATCACCGATCAATAGAGGAAAGATAAATGGAAACACCTACACTGACAAGGAGAAGTCTTAAAAGTTTAGTTGGCAAGATTGCTGGATATTGATGGTGGAAATGTTATTATCTTTTAAAGATAATGTCTAAACTATTGCAGAGTGACAGTTGGACGCTGATATCACTTGCTTCATTTATTTTATACTCAGGTCTGGGTCTACAACATGTTTGTCAGTGTTTCTTCAGTAAACATGATCTTAAGTGCTTATCGCTCTAAAATTATTTAAATGAAGACTGCACTAAGAAGTACACTTAAATATTGCGGTATCAGGATCTCATATATTGATATCCCTTCTTGACCGCACAATGGTTTTTCTGTGGGTTACACATAATAGAAATGCAAATCATAAACAATCTGTTGATGGAAAGCTTTATGGATAATCGCATTACTGTGGAGTTCAGTTTTGACTGTCATAACTATGATATTTCTGTCTTACTCTTTGATTTATCAGGAATATTTCCAGGAGTTCTAGCTAAGACAGCACAGCAGCATTCATGTTTCACATAAATGAAAAAACAACATACTTAAAACACCAGCAACAAAAGTTTAAACAAGCCATATTCACATGACTGAACAAGCGACAGACAAAGAGCAAACTTCGGGAACCAATGCATCATTACTTTTCTGTACTGGTCAAATTGTAGTTAATCCTCTTTTTCTTGTTAATCTAGGTTAAGGTGACTCTGTAGCTCACATCGGGATGAGGGTGCAATACTTTTAAAGCACAGTCTTCCAAGACTGTTTTGGGAACTGACATGCCTAATTGGTCCGTGTGACTAAAGGTTGCAGCTACTGACCGTTTTGGAGTCAGCAGAGAACATAAATAAGGAGGCAGTTTGTGTCATATGGCATTATGGAGACGAATCTACCATTGCTTTAATCTTCGGTTGTATAAGACAAACCACCTTTCTCATCCAAACTGCATTGCTGTGTGCAGAAATCTGAATCTTAGACTAATTGAAATGCAGCTAATGTGCTACACTGAATCTTACATTTCTATCACCTTGGCTCTAGGATTTGTTCCTGGCTTGCTCCACTCAATATGTCACTGCCCAGGCATTTATGCCTGCAGTAAAATGTGATCTCAAGTGCCCCTGGCCCCCTGCTTTCACAGTTCAGTCAGTTTACTGGAGGGCCGCTACTGAGAACTTGAACACACACTGAGGTCCTGCTGAAAGATTCACGGGTTAGCTAGTTAGCTTTGGACTTACCCAGCTCCCCTTTATCAAGACCCTGGCATACTCTAAATTATTCTTTTTAAATAGTATCAAGATTTGTTAGATCCAATATCCAGGGCCACTAATGTTAGGCATAGTGAAGTCAGATGCTTCAAAGATATGAAGTTTATGGTAAAGACCCCTGGGTAGCTGTTACAGCTGAGGTGTCCCTCATCCTGAATTATTATTATTATTATTATTATCATCATCATCATCATCATCATCATCATCAGGGTTTACACATACCTGGTTGGACTGGGCAGGGCAGTGATGGGGGGGGATTATGGTGCCTGTTGGCAGGGGCACAGGATTAACTGCACCATCTGGCCAAGACCAATATATTCTCAGGAAAGGAGGAAGAACGAAAGATGGTTCATTTAACTGAATTTACTGAAATACAGCACAAAGTTCGAAATATTTACAAGCAAACAGTGAAGCTAGATAGAATGTAGAATATATGTCTAAAACAAGTTGTTTAGAAAACTTTTGATACTTTTTTTTATGCTAAAGTTTCAGTTGAAAGTCTAGGTACTGACTGGTTAGGAATGGTCCTTCTAGTATAATCTTTTTTCTTTTTCTTCTCACTGAAAGTATCTTTGAAAAGCAAATCATACTGTACAAGCTCTGCTGCAGACTTTGTTTCTTTTTACTTTCAAATATCTGATATACTGTTTGGTTGTGGTTTCTCCTCCCGACAGGAGACATCCATTCTAGACGAGTACAGCATCAACTGGACACAGAAGTTGGGAGCGGGCATCAGTGGACCGGTCAGGTGAGAGTGAGACGGAGTGTGTCAAGAAGTACCTTCTGGAAGGTCTTTCTCTAGATGCATAAGGTCAAAATGCTACTGCTGTGGAAGCGTTTTAGAGCTTAAGAGAAAACAGTTATTCGTAAAGATAATGTGAAAATAATTATTAGTTGCAGCAATACTGTGTTGCCAAACTCAGAACTATGTTTTTAGTAAACCAAGACTTGGACATGTGCCAGTATCTGGTATCTGTTTGTTATCTGGAAATCACCCGTTACATTTTCTTGATTGTTGTCAATGGGAATGAGTTCAACTTCCACTGCTTGGAATTCCAGATAAACTACTTGGAAATCTAATAATCAGGGCAAAGCCCAGCTGTGAGAGGAGAGCCAAAATCAAATTGAAATGACTTTGTAGTTTGTTTTGATCTAAAAGTAGTATACCACCATGACTCAGAATATTATTAAATCCCACGATGGAATTTATGAGAGCGATAACTATTGATATATATTTTGCTGTAGATTACACTTTTGCTCATCCCAACTGCGGCGTTTAGGTTTAATGTCAGAGCAAATGTAGATGATTTGCTAACTGAGCTGTCAAATGGACGCACGTTGGGACTGCTGCCAAACCACCTTGCTACATGTTACTCCTGTGGTTTTATATTGCAGCGTGTTAACCAGCACAGTTTAACTTTGACGCATTAACACATATTGGGATATGAAAAGGCCAGATGCTTGTCACTTGACGGGTCTTCAACAGACTGGACCAACCACGGATGTGTTTTGTCACACTGTCGCAAACCTGAGGCCTAATATTGAGATGTTTGGCACCAGTACATGTTGGTACTAGTTTGTGGGGGCTGATATGGTTCAGGCAGAATCTATACAACTGCAACATCCATGGCTTGATTCCAACCTTAAACCTTATCCCTGACAACTATGTTTACCTGTTTTTTACTGTGCTCTTGTGTAAATGAATACATAAGTGTTTTTGTGTCACTTTACTTGGTTATGTTTGGTTTAACTCGCATAATAATGGACTTTTCATCATTGTTAAGCTGCACTCGGATTAAAGATATCATTATTGTTGGTGCATGAGGGTTTAATGATGAAACTCAGCAGTTTTCTTTATCTCCTCTCTGCATTTTCCCCTCCAACCTTCTCCACCCTAACACACGTTGCTGAAATATTTACAATAAGCAGCAATGACTTTTAACTATTTTTACACTAAACCCTCCAAAAATGTACTTTTCATGTAGTGGTTAATCTAAAGCACAAATGGTGCGAAAATGCGAGTTTGCCGTATATGTGTTTCTCTAAAGGCTGTAATCTCTTCATAGAAATGTTTGTCTTTAGATTAATTCAGTTACAGAGAGGCAGTTGCAGCTTTAAACGCCTTCTGTTTATTCTCTGTGAGTTTTTTTCTCTCGCTGCCATGATGAAATCCAGCTAGTTGCAGGCTGTAATACTTTATATCAATGTGTGTCACTGATCCCTTGTGAACATTCTGCACTTTGAAGCTATCACGGGTCTCTCTGTATCAGCCTGTATTTTCCCAACATGTGTAGTTTGTACTCAAGTGACGAGCATAGTGAGAAGGTGACTCAATAGCCCTACATGTAAACACTCTTAAGATTCATGCTGTACTCGGAACAAACCTTACTAAATCTGTCTGCGGTTTTCCTAACTCTCACTCTGATTCACAGAGATCTTATCTCATATAAATCGTTTTTGATTCTCTTGCTCATCTCTTTGTGTTTCACAATACATTCAATTATTTTACTGTACTGTGCCGCCCTCACTCAGTCTCTGTGACTCATTAGGTAGGTATTGCTTTCCACTTTCCAGTGAAGTGAACTTTGGCCGAAGCAGAATGTTTCTCACAGTAATGCTTTAATAGTGTAATCTGAGTTTAAGGGCCAGAGGTTGCTGTTTAAAGACTATTTGAGTCTTTTCTGCTCAGTGGAAAAGGGAAAGGACTTTTCAGATAATTAAATGTTTATTAATTTGGTCCATGTATATTGATTTGGAATGAGACATTCATTCTAAGAAATGTCAACCTTGAAAATACATAATATACAATATTTATATTAGATGACAAATATGAGAGATGGCTTTATTTGGTTTGACTCATCTCAAAGATGCAGACATTATTCTATGTGCCATAACAAACTGAGATGTTGACAAAATATTGTTGCTAACTCTGTGTAGCCAGCTGCTTCTTTTTTTATCTCTGTTTGTCAGGTCAAATGTGACTTTACAGCACATAGTACTTTATTACTTTAACACCTGTAAAACAATAATCAGATGGAAATCAACCCCTACATAAGCACAACAAACTCAGCCAAACATAGTTCAAACCATAGTTTGATTTTGACCGTTAGGAACTTTATTTAATAATATTTAGAGATCAGTTGATCTCACAAGATATTAAGCAGGACATTTCACAGTGGAACAATTATCAGTGCTCTCAGGTAGACAAATGAGGTGCTGGTAGTGGCAACTGTATCTGAATTAATGTATTTGACCTCAACCGACATATAAACAATATAACTGAAATAAGCTAATATCGGAGAGTATAGCTGTAGTTCATACCAAACATATGCTACTGAATTTGTTGGTATTTGTTAAAAACTGATTTTCTATAAAGACACATAGTGATTACATTTGACACACAAAGATTAAGCCCGACATCAATGACCATTAACAGAAACAACCGAAAACAGGGAAAGCCCTGCATGACCTCAGAAACTGCCTTATCGATCACATCTGTGACACAGAGGGGGTGATATTGACCGAGATATTTGTCGATTCTTGTTTGCTTCCTGTTCAGAGTTTGTGTGAAGAAGTCATCTCAGGAACGCCTGGCCCTGAAGATCCTCATTGATCGCCCTAAAGCCAGGAATGAGGTTAGAGAAAAACACTGTTGCGAATTTTGATTAATACCTGTTGTATGTTTTCTCTGGCAGTATCAATATTCTTTGTTCTGTCTGCCTACCTGTTATCAACCTTTTTCAATTCCTGTTTTTATTTCCTAATCAATCTGCCTCCTCCTGTGCCTCCTTTGTCTGTTTTCATGGGAATCGTTGTCAGTAACATTGTCTGTGTGTGGTGTATCTAGCAGCCTCTCCATGTCAGCAGCAGCCTTCTGTTTTGATCAAGCAGCGAGACATGTAGTCAAAACAAGCAACACAGACGAGCCTCACACAAGCTGTCGCTGCCAAACTGTGAAAGCTGTCACTGTCAAATACTCACAGATTATAACAGCCAAACTGTGTATTATTCAGGCCCTATAATCATTTTTCTAAATGGGGGTGTATCCGGGGAAACTGCTACAATAACAATGAGTGCATGCTCTTTTTTGAAAGGTTACACTGTCTATGTTAGGAATGTAATGGCTGCAGAATAGTGTACACGGGAGGCGTTTAAGTCACATTTTATGTCATTCCTCGAATGCATCTCTCGTGGCAAAGATAAAGTTATATTTGAATCATTACAGTTGTTTACAAAAGGTGCAATTGCGTTGTACATATATACACATTCCTGTGTATTCCCAGGGCTGAAGCTGCTGCTCTGCTACATGCTGTTTCGGTACAACGTTACACAGGCTGTGTTGATATTGTGTCAGGGTTTGTTGATGTAACACATTTAAACGGTGACACCAGACACATATTTAAGCTGTTTTTTCTCTAAATAATAACTGAGATACTTTTAATATGTAACAAATCAATGAGCTGTTCTTTCAATTAAATCAGAATTTACTTTGCCACCCACCATATATATTGAACTGAGGATATCAAATGTCATGTGTCTATAATGTAAGAATAGACACGGTAGAAAAAAGCTGCACATGTTATTGCTCAGCCCCAATTCCTTTCTAATCAAAATGTGTATCAGTTGATCAGCAAGCGTGATACGGTTGGTACTTATAATGCAGTTATCTCTACTGAGGCGGACCATGTGAGGTGTTATGATTGCTGTAGTTTTAACACAATTATCACTCAACACCTTCCAAAATCATTAGGACAGAGTGATTTCATCAAGGAAAGGATGCTTTAGTGTTGTAGTTATTTCTCATGGGTTTCTTGACAAAACTCCTATATATTTAAGTTAAATATATTTTACAGGGTGTCTGATTCTCTTCCATGCAGGTGCGCCTCCATATGATGTGTGCACACCACCCAAACATAGTGCAAATCCTGGAGGTTTATGCCAACAGTGTCCAGTTTCCACACGAGTCCAGCCCAAGGTGTGAATGTGTGGAATGCAATCATTATTTTTTTTTAAGTGTACGGCAATCCTTTTCCTCTGACACATCCAAACATCCTCTTCATCTTCACAGAGCGAGGCTCCTAATTGTTATGGAGATGATGGAGGGAGGCGAGCTTTTCCACAGAATCAGTCAGCACAGGCACTTTACCGAAAAGATGGCCAGCCAGGTCACTAAACAGGTAAGTGAGCTCACCCTCTCACCCTCTCACCCTCTCACCCACTCACCCACTCACTCACTCTGTTGTGTTTTTCCCTCGATGTGATTTCTAAATGTCTAGTTTTTTCCTGTCAGTCAGTCTTGGTCCACTAGTGACTGTCTTTGTGTGAAACTCCTTTCCTCTGTGTGTAACCGCCTCCCCGTGTCATTAGCAGCCCCCCCTCTGCTGCACATGAGGCAGTTGAACACTGAGACTCGTGGTCAAAAGAAGCAACACACTCCGACTCACATCCAGTGTGTCTGAAGGTTGCTTTGACACACTCACACACACACATAGAGTGGTGTCTCAGTCTGATGTCTCTTCCCCCTATAGATCAGTCAAGCCTTGGAACATTGTCACTCCCTAAATATTGCACATCGCGACCTGAAGCCAGAGAACCTGCTTTTTAAGGATAACTCTCTGGTAAGTAGATAAAGTTGCAAACATATATACGGCAATTTTCAAATGTACCCCGACAGATGCCACTACTGAGTCTGCTGCTACAAATGAGAATACACTTTGTGGGACTGTAAGGCTGCAGCTTTACTTTTTGAGAAACTGTAACAAGGAAAATGTACTGTGTGCATTTAGCAGAAAAGGGCAAAGATAACTTGTTAACCTGCATCTTCAGTCCTAGACTTAACCTTTATCTAGCAGCAGCTTAAATTATCATCCTGGAACCTGAATGTATTTATAAAAATAAAAAAAACTTTTAAAGTAATAATTGTTTCTGTCCGTTCCTCAGGATGCACCTGTGAAGTTGTGTGACTTTGGCTTTGCCAAAATTGATCAAGGGGACTTGATGACCCCTCAGTTCACTCCCTACTATGTAGCACCTCAGGTAAAAAGTGAACGTAGAATTCGTACAAAGAAAGTTGTTAAATGTAAACATACATATATTTAAAACATCTTAAATGTAGTAATAATGAAAGCTGATGTCAACAATGTCCCCTTCTGCTGTCATTACTGTTCAGGTACTTGAGGCTCAAAGAAGACACCAGAAAGAAAAGTCTGGAATTATACCTACCTCACCCACTCCTTATACCTATAACAAGGTGAGACGAAAACGTGTTGTAATAAACATTTTGGCCAACTGTGGCGAGTATCTTTTTAAAAACGTCACTAGTAAAAAAACAACAAAACCCAAAATGTTTTTTGACAAACTTTCTTTTCCTATGGTTCTTCAGAGCTGTGACTTGTGGTCTCTCGGAGTGATCATCTACGTGATGCTCTGCGGCTATCCTCCCTTCTACTCCAAGCACCACAGTCGCACCATCCCAAAGGACATGAGGAAGAAGATCATGACGGGAAGCTTCGACTTCCCTGAAGATGAGTGGAGCCAGATCTCTGAGATGGCCAAGGACATTGTCCGCAAGTAAGTCGTTTTTTTCTCCCTGCTATTATCTGGGAATTCATCTTGTTGTCCCAGAACATGGCATATCCACCTGTCCCACTTTACCATCCCTCATTCAACTTTCGTCTGGTCATTAATGTGTCCTCCCTCCTGCCCCCTGCAGGCTGCTGAAGGTGAAGCCAGAGGAGAGGCTCACTATTGAGGGTGTCTTAGATCACCCTTGGCTTAACTGCACGGAGGCTCTGGACAACGTGCTGCCCTCAGCGCAGATGATGATGGACAAGGTGAGCGGGAAGTGCAAAATCTTGCATTGCACAAATGCTATGCTCCTGTTCCTGTTACAAGTGACTGAGAGTTCTTCATGGTACAAGCGTCCTCTTCTTCATTTCCTTCATGCCCCCCCTCTCCCCTTACAGGCGGTAGTGGCTGGTATCCAGCAGGCCCATGCAGAGCAGCTGGCCAACATGAGAATTCAGGATCTGAACGTCAGCCTGAAGCCTCTTAACTCTGTCAACAACCCAATCCTCAGGAAGCGGAAACTACTAGGGTGAAACTGCTTTTACACTTTTTTTGTATTTAAAATCCTTTTTCCATCTTGTGCTTTTTGAGAAGGTTCTTCTGATGTTTCTATCTGCTGTCCTCTAGCAAAGTGTTACTCTGTTTGTCTTCTTTAGTAACTGTTCTCCTAATGAGGTCAAAGATTGGCCTTTAATTGTGCTTTGGTGTCCACGTTGCAGCCCCAAGCCCAGTGATGGTTTCTTCATCCATGATCCAGAGAACGGAGGGGACGACTCCAACGTAGCGCTGGAAAAATTACGAGACGTCATTGCACAGTGTATACTACCACAAGCTGGTGAGTAACCCATGCTTTGAAATTAGAATAAAGTAGACTCACTTTTTTAATTTGCTGCATTACATTACCTTACAGATGACATTTCACTTATTTAATTCCACTAAGAAGCATTTCGCCACCGGTGATGAATGTAAAACTCTTGCAAAGCCTAACATTGCATCACCAAAAATACTGATATGTCATAAAGTACACACATATTCAAAATAAACATGGCAGACTTCTAATTAAGCTGTATAAGCTATATATCTTATATTCAATAGGGCATAGTTGTGACATGTTTCTGAGGTCTCTTGCCAATGTAAAAAAGAGACTAACTCCTGAGGTGAATATGTGTGTGTGTCCAGGAGAGAACGAAGATGAGAAGCTGAACGAGGTGATGTATGACGCCTGGAGGCTCAACAGAGACTGCAAACAGCTGAGAGAGGGGCTGCCGGGCCTCAGCTGGGACGGTCAGTACCAAATCATCTGCTCTATATCTGGCAAATAGCATCCTTATTTCCTATTGTTATAATCAATTCAAATGTAAGAACTATAATAAATTACCCTTGGTTTTCATTCATTGTTAATTATCTTGTAATAGCAACATAACTATTGAATATTTGCATTTTCCCTCATCCATATTTTCTGGCTTTCTTTGCTTTATCTGCCTGCCAAAGAATCTGCAAACACAGCTCAGTTTTCCGTATCACAAATAAATAACAGAGAAGTTTCATTGCAGTTCACACTGGAGGTGATTTTGAAGGTCTTGTGGTCAATTGGTTCATTTTTTGGTCCATTTTTCAAGCAAAGATGCCAATTAAACCTAATATGCAGACCCTCAAAATGGAGTGTTCTGCTGTTCTTCGTCTTTTGAAGTAATCAATTTAACATTTTATGATTTTGGACTAAACAAAACAATATAAGGTGTCAGCTAAGCTGTAAAGTTCTTAAAAAGTATTATCACTTCCCTTGTCCTTAACCGCAAGCTTTTTTTCATTGCAGGACGATCCTTCTCCGATAAAGTCGACCGCTTGAAATTGGCTGAAATAGTGAAGCAGGCCATCGAAGAGAAGACAAATCTTGAAGAATCTCATTAGCAACCGCTGTCTTTCTATCTTCTTTTTATATTGTTTATTATATCTCTTTTTAACCCATATCTGTAAAGAGGCTTTTTTTATGTAAAATGATGCGCTAACTTTTGTTTTCTCTTGAATTCACTTGCAAGACCTATTGTACAGCTGTAGATATATTTCAAAGAGGACTCATTGGTACTATAATTTTTTTTTAAAGAACACTTGCGAAGAACATTGAAAAAAAACAACTATATTTTCATTTTTGCAAAAAAAGAAAAAATCAGTTGAAGAAATTATTTTCTGGGAGGGAATTTGTATTCGCTGCTTTCCAAGGAGTCGCCTGTTTTATCCCAGATATTTCATTTTATTCTGTTTTCTTACGTTTTAATCATCTTAAGAATTGTATTTATTCAAGCACAGATTTTCTTATTTTATACCTAAACTATAGCCTGGCAGCGGGCTCTAAAGTCAAGAGAAGCTGTGACTGTTCTTCCAAACACTCTTGGTTCAGTGTGCATTTAAATTATATAAATCTTTGTTTTTGTGTAACTTTTCCTTTGCTTTTTGTTGTGTAGAGGTCAAGGTAAGCTGCAAATAGAGGTAAAGGAAAGTGTCTAGAAATATACAAAAGCAGCCCCAAATGAGTTTTGTCACAACCCCTTTCTTTGAAGCCGGTAAGATATGGCACCAAAAGATAGACTGCAAAGCAGGAACCCTGTGGCTCATTTGGTTTAATGAGTTTTGACCAAAAAAAGTCCTCCTACTAGCTTTTAACTGTTTCATTGCCTTCTTTAAAAGATGCCATTTTAAGTTCCAGTTAATTTAAAATGTTGTTGTCAAACTGTTTCCAAGGTCAAGAAACAAACTTTTATCGGCTCAACTAAATCCATGTAGGTTTTACAAACTGCGTTAAACTCACACACATGAAGTGATCATACTGCTTGTCAGCGTCTGAAGTTTGTATCTGGCAAGTCAAATGAAGTGAATTGTTTTATATAAAGGTTTTTCTTAAAGGTCTTCCCATTTCTGATGTGACTCTAAAGGTCTTAGGTTCAGTCTGCAGTTAAAGTTGTGAAAACTGACCTGAATTGCTTTGACGGAAAGTTGTTTCTACTGCAATTCATACCGGAGTCAACTAATATTTAAGTACCTTTTTTAAAGCAAGAGTGTTTGCTACTTGAGCCAGCAGAAACACAGAAACACCGAGCGTCTGTGGTTCAATGTAGGCCGTGAATATATATATACAAGAAAATATCATTAGAAGGGTTTCAGCAGCCGGTCCGTCTCAGTGTCATTACACTTGCATACTGAATGTGCAATAGGCAATAATTATGATCATGATCATGAATTCATAGTGCTTGTATATGGTACTGAAATATGATGTATCAACCTGTCAGTATTCTATCTGAATGTCAGCAAATGCTCCCTGCCTTCACTCATCCCAATCCGTTAGCTTTCATTATTTGTCATGAATTAGCAACGTTTCCCCTGCATTGTTCTGCTCTCGTCATATCTTATATTATTTCTTGGGGTTGTAAGAAGGGATTCCTGTTTAGGTGTTTTCAACAGAACAAGCCTCAGATAGCTGGAGGTTCTCTTGATCAGTGCCTGATTATTTCTTCTATATCATTTTCTGTTGTTTTGAAAATATTCTTAAGTGTATGAAATCCCCTTTTGTTAAGGTCTCCTCTTCATACGGATGATATTTTCATGTCAAGAATAATGCATTAGCCTTTTTTTCATCTAAATGAAAAGTCTATCGTGCATTATTAGCAAACATCACTGCAATAGGTTGTTGCTGTCCTGTGAAAACAAGTTTTATTTAATTACCTAAAGGGTAAGGGGTTTCTTTTTAAGTGGAGAAAATGATCCTACTTCAGACACTAAATAAACCATTTAAAAACTCATTGGATTATCTGTAAAATATAGTCTCATAACAGAAAAGGAGTTGTATTTACTTATAAGGAGACAGCACAGTGATAATATTTAAACTGATCTTTTTCACACCATTTGCAATAAACATGCAGTTTAAAGATGATCTTTCTTATTCCAGTTTGTGTTTAGCAAGAGCAATCGTTACTTACATGATTCTGATAGATTAGTTAGACTCATGGTTTCTTATACAGTCTCTGATGATATCCACGGCCAGTGTCTGAAAAGGACTTGGTTATAATTGCAACATTTCACTCAAGTGTGCCTTGTTGATCTGGTGACATACTCCCCCTTTTACTGCTCTTATCAATACAGTGAATTACAGGGTGAAGTGGAGACTCAGAATCAGTGTAAATGGTGATTGGTGTTTGTCCTTTTGGTTGTCATTTGCTTTTTTTCTTGTTCAGAAATTAAGGTTTTCATTACACAAATTAGTTTTTTGGTTTGATATTCCTGCACCTCTAACAAATTAAAGAGATGGTTCAACATTTTGGGAAATACGCTTATGCACTTTCTTGCTGTGAAATTACATGAAGACTGGAAACGGAGAAACTATGGCCTGTAATTCATCCTTTTACCTTTTTACTACCTAATGTGATTCAATTACTCCCAGACAAAAAATTGTCCGGATACAAACACATAACCTTCTTTAAAAAAAGGTTAAACTTTGTTTTTTTGTACGTGCATTAGAGGTGCACGTGTCTTATAATTAACGGAAACATATTTGAGTGTTATCAACCTCATACCGCCACAAAGCAAATTAAGCGTATTCCACAAAATGGCCATTTCTGCTTTAATTCATCAGCAGTTTTTGTTTGTTGGATCATACAGACATATGTCTTTCAGTGTTTCACTAAAAGTGAAACTTAATGCTGCCTTTTTTTGTTTGACTATCTGTTTTATCTGTATGTCATTAATTTGTGTGTGTGTGTCTGGTTCAGTATGCTGAGCCTAATCTGTATAACTGGAGGCCTATAACTGAATCAGAGCTGCTACCTCCCGGCCACAAATAACAGACTTTATATCCTCTGCTACCTGAAAGAGCATTGTTGCTGAAGGGTAGTGTATTTATTTTGTACTGTAAAGTCAAGGCATGTATCTTGATATTTGATACTAACAATTAAAACCCCAAGGGGAATAACACAGTCCAGCTCAGACACCATGTCCCTGCTGTTTGCTGCTCAGTGTCTCTGAGGGCAGCTTGTTTTAAAGATGGTACCCCCCTCTCACCCTTATACTGGGCGGTGCTGATGCCCTCAGACATGCATTCAGGCTTACTGCGCTTTAGACATATTTCAAAAATAGGATTTTATATAAGGACAGATTTCTTGTTCCCTCGATGGATGCTGACTGAAGATAAATATCTGTACTTTTTTGATATATCATTAGAAATGACCTGAAAGACAGAAATAGTGTAGGGGGCATTTCCTTTTCTTGATAAATACCATGTTGCTTCCATTTTTATACAGTTTTGAGCCATCCCTGGGATAAGTGAGGAAGAAATGTTGAGGAAAGGAAATAGTTTCAGAGGCTTTCTCTGCTTTTGTTTGTTTCCCCTTGGACTGGCAGTGATGTAGCGTACCTGAATCTCTCATGAAGACTTGCTGTATTTCTGTCTTCACATCAACATTCTGCCTTTTCTGTCTTTTTTTGGAACATCAACATGCTGACTTTGTAATAAAGGAACTCTTTGAAAAAAATGTATATTGTCTACATTTCTACACAGAGTATGGTATTACTTTAAACGTAAAGGATTTGTTTGCACACTTACAGTTAGTAATGACAGGAATTTGGCTTGATGTGGGAAGCTTAAAGTATATAACCTTTAATCTCCAGTATGGCTTCTGTAAATCTAAATCCTGATGCAGCATTTCAACTTAAGATTCTTATGACGGACAACTTCTGCTTTTTTCCATTTGTAGACTTTAAAAAAAAAAAAAAATGCCTGCTCAATTAAAAACATGTTAGATACAAATATTTTTATTGTAGATTGAAAACAGAGTAGATAGAAATCTAGAACAAAATTATCTTAAGAAATTCATAACCTCACAGGACAAAGGCGTGTTCACATTGATGCAGACCAGACACACTTACTATTGTACACATATTTAAAGGCACTTTAATATATAACATTTGTTGGAAAGCAGCAATAAAACCAGAAATGTGCTCCCAGAATGAAAATCACCCCATCAAAAGATTGGAAAAAAAAAAAGTTTTGCAAATGATTGTAATTACACAGACCTGATCTTAAATAGCAGTGGTAATAGCAAGTGTAATAACACAGAGAAAAATACATACATTAGAGACAGTAACTTTTGAAAGAGGAAGATTGCTGCCATTTTAGACGGTTTATAGAAACATTTCCCCTGTTACACTACATTGCTGACATCTTAATGCAGATAACACAAGAAATGTATCATCAGGTCAGCATGTCACATTTCAAAGGAAAATATTAAGGTTACATTTAAATGTTGCATTGCCTCCCAGATGTACATAAAGAGAAGTTAATTGTGAGTAGTTGTGATAGAGCTGAAAGAGATAACATGTTTCTGTTGGGTGATTTGGTGGTTAGCTGTAATTTAAACGGAGCATTAGAAACCAGATCAATCCTTTCATCTGCACAGACACTTTAATGCCAGTGGGTTAAACACAATCTGTATGTTTGGAATGTGTGTCTTAGAGTTGCGATCCCTGCACTACAACATATATTCTCCCATCAGTCCAGTGGACAAACCCCCAACAGGTGGAAAACTGTAAAGGTATCAATGTTTGGAAATTCACACTGATGGATACAAAATGGGCGAGAACTGAGGTGTTAGCACAAAATAATAGAACTAAGATGGGGTTACAGTTAGAGACAGAGCAGCAAATCCATTTTAGGTCCGTTATAAAACTATTTGAGCTCCATGCCCGTAACCCAGTGGAAGACAGTGATGATGTTGAGCAGCACCGGCTCAGTCCGAGTCCTCGTCGTCCAAATACTCTTCAGCGTTGCTGTGTGTGCGGGCGGGGTCTGAAACAAGAGAAACATTTAAATATTTTAGTGCTGTTAAACTTCTGCACCTTCAAGTATTACACAGCAAATGTCTGTTGGATCTTTTGCAAATTGTGTTTCTTATAGGGCTGTCACCATAGATTATCACTACACGATTATCATGGCAAAAATGATTCACGATAACGATATTATTGCAATATGTATAAAACATTTGAATACAAATAATAAAGCCATACACGGCAAAATCAAGTGTTGCTCTACTTGACAAAAATATAATTTCGCTCAAACTCAACAGCAAAGTCTCTTTCCAGGAAACCTGAACCGTTTAATGCATATCATCAACAGACTTTGTTCATAGCAGTTTCAAGTGGGAACTATTTTCTTTCAAACAAACTGCATGAAATAAAGTGTGTACTACTACAGCTCTACAGTGAAGAGGGAAATGGTACAATTCAAGCTTAATGAATCCCAAAACCTGCCAAATCCATTTCAGACCAGTTACTGCTCATGTCTTAAACAGTATATTAACTGACTGCTGATCTTTATGATTGTCTGAGCTTGTTTCTGATGGATCGGTTTCCACGGTTACCCCCAGTTCAGTGAATAATCATATAATTTTCTAGGGGTTTCTCCTGTGAGTGGCCTGTCCTGATGATACTGCATGTGTGAGGGCGCCTCCTGGTGGTACTTACTGCTTCCCTGCTTCCTTTTGAGAAGTGAAGCACACATTGCGTTGGTGGCCATTTCCAGAGCGAGTTTATTCTCATTGTTCCTGATATCTGTTCTCGGATCTGAAACAAACATACTCGCACTGAATAAAAGACTGGAAACTGAAATCAGAAAGACACATAAATCTACCTGTACACACACACACACACACACACACACACACACACACACACACACACACACACACACACACACACACACACACACACACACACACACACACACACACACACACACACACACACACACACACACACACACACACACACACACTTCAATATTCAAACAAATAAAGAAGATTACAGCAAGCCAGTTGCTTTTAAATAAAACAAAATAAGAGACCCGTCCAGGTAAAAAATAAAGGCCAGATACTCACCCTTGTTTAGCAACATTTCCACAATGTCAGAATAACCCTTCCAGGCTGCAGCGTGCAGAGGCGTGTCCCCGAGTTTATTCTGAAATACAAAGCACTCACATCACCGGAAAATACATTGGCTGGGAAATCAAGTCAACAGCATATCATGTTTTTGACCCCTTAGTACATTTATTTGTATGCCTACGTTACCTGCTGGTTGAGCTCAATGTTGGGCTGGCTTAGCAACACCTCCACTACATCTGATAAGAAAAGCAGAAAAATAACTGAGTGTCGGACTGAGGATGAACTGGTTAACAATGGAGCAACACAAATAAACTGGAACACTTTCATAGACCTAGTTCCTGTTTTTCTTGACAGAAGTGTGTCAAAATAAAACATTTATGAAATCACATTCAGGCACTACCTAATCAGATTACTGGACACAATATGAATATGCAGTGTTCATTAGAGGAAGTTTTTTTATTTCTGACAATGCAAACTCTGTATCATAAAGAAAATCTCAACATATTTTAATAACAAAGTATTTTACCTTTATGCCCTCCATGGCACGCCCAGTAGAGGGCAGTGTTTCCAGCTTTGTCCAGCCCGTTGATTCCAACCTTGTTCTCCACACATTCCCTCAGCCAGCTCAGATTGCCTGTTTAAACACAAATATGTGCATAAACAAAAACAAAGTACAGTCAGGGTTGAATGAAGCAGGGTACTAAGAATGCAAACAGTATACATGTCTTCAGCATAAACAGAAAAGAGTTCACCAAGGTGTTGTGTTCATTTTCTCCAGAAAGAAGGAATTATCTTGGTATGTCACAACAAATAATTAAATAAAAAACACGTTGAAAGGTTCAGATCTGTAGGTCGTGGTCGCACCTCGTTTGGCTGCTTCGTGCATTGGATTGTCAATGGACTCTGCCTGCTCAGCCACTAAATAAATAAAATATAAACACACCATTAGTGCATTATCAAGATGTACTAATAGGTGACAAATAGTGACTATATTCTGTACTCACCATAGTTACTTGGAATCAGTCCTGTCCTTCCTCTGCATGTCCCCTTCCACCAATTACTGTCACTCTGGAGAAGATAGTAATGCAGAAGTCTTTATTTATTTTTAAAAACAAAAGTCCCAGATGCGAATAACTAGGGACGTACAGGACAAAGCAACATGTAACATAACAGTGAAATTAAAAAGGAAGAGAAAAGTGCACATGGAATGGAAACACAAAAGGTAGACACAAAATGAACAGAGTGCGACGCTGAGAAAGAGGAAGAAGAAGTGCAGAATCAGATTCAGACTGAACGGGACATGAGAACTTAAGAGGAAGATGGCAGCAGTTTGAGGTTTACTCACTGTGTCAGAGATGTACAAGAAATCTCCTTCTTCAAAAAACAGCTCATCTGGCTGGAAGACAAACAACACAATATTTCTCAAAAACGAACCAGACACAGTTTCATGTCCACAAGTAAAACAATCGTAACGGCAACATTTCAAAGTGGTTTAACCTATAACTGTTCCTGGAGAAGATTTTGGGTAATGATAGGTACGTTGAAAATTAATCGTACCTATGATGACTTCAGTCATTCACTGGGTAATCTCAAATGTATGTGATTTGCTTATTATTTGTGTCATATTTGATGGGTTATTAAATATCCTTAAGTTTTGGAATGCTTAATGGACAAATAAGCTAATACATACTACATACGTTTACAACGTCACTGAGGAAAAATATTTTCACTATTTATTTCAATTATTGTTTAACAAAATATTCTTTCCTCCTTTAACTTCTCTTATCCATTTCATTATTTCGTAAAATCAGGTAGGTTTCATTAAGTTTAAAACAGCATATCTCATGTCATGGGTTTGTCCAATAATATTTCAGCCTTGAAGTGATGTTTAAGATGGACTTAAATCATCTTTTGCAAAACCAATCTGTATACACAATTAAAATTACAAATGTTATAGCCTACATGTCAAATTCTGCTTTTCTTTATTACATTTATAGTTAACCAGAAAATTGCAACAGGGGTGCAGAACCAACATTTGTGAATTAAATGTCCTTCTTACAGAATCTGGACATTAAAAACTATGACGTCTAAATTCATCACATTAATAATGAAAATAGCCTGTAAAAATATATTCAACAATGGCCTTCAACAATCTTCAAATTATAGAAAAAGAATCCATCATGACAAAAAAAAAGCTCTTACCGTTCTGGGGTCAAAGGTGAACAAAGCTCGGAACACCTTGACTTGGCCTAGAGAAGAGAAAACACAGATTTCATGTTAGATTACATATTCAGACCTGTATGTATAGCAGTGGTGAACAGAGCACATTTTACTTGACAATAAAAATACAGACAGTGAGTTGAAAGACTAACCAGTGTAGTTTCACTGCAGACTGCAGCTTCAATCTGCTAAATTACTCTCATAAAAGTGAAACAAATCACAGTGCCAACATCATCAATCACCTCACTCCAGAGTCAAATGCAAGAAGCCCTGCCTGAGTAATGCAACCTGCACATCGCTCATAATGTCAGCTCTTTAAGCAGCTACTCTGATGCAGCTTACAGGAATTCAGTGGAAATGCAGTCAGTGTAGCGACAGATACACTGAAAAAATATAATTAATTAAATGTAATATATCAACAGATTTCACCTAACTTTATTAGGTTAGTTGAAAGCAATAATATTAAGTTTACATACAAAATAGTAGGTTCAACTTAATATTATTGCTTTCATCTAACCTAATACAGTTTGGGGAAATCTGTTGACATAATACATTTCATTAAAGTCAACATTTCAGTATTTTCAGTGTAAATGTTGCTGTTGCGAGTGTGTGCAACCCTCAGGCAGCTGCTATCCTCTGGGTGTGTGAGGCTCGCTGTGCAGCCTGGTGTTAGCTCTGTTGCTCAATGCTACCAGAGAGACTGTAGCCTGAACCGACAGGTGAACCAGTTCATAGAGCTACAATAGATATTAAAAAAGCAGTGCCATGTTTTACATTAACCTATATATATATTTGTGTAATTCTTCCAACTGTTGGCTTCTGGGACTGAGCAATGCCTGAAGTTAGTTGCAGTGTGTTGTTACATACACAGACTTATGAGCTGGTGTAAAACCTAATGAAATAAATAGTATTACCAATACATCTGTTTCTTTACTTCTAACTGTATAAAAATGTATATCTGTAGTTTCCATGTCAAAGAAAACTAACAAATAAATAGAAAAGCATGTTTTTTAAAGCACAAACAGTTTACTAAACAGACTAATGAGCTGGGTAAACTGAAAGCCAAAGTGTTTTCAGATACCCAGCCTTAATGTTATGCAAATGGAATGTTATTCTTCTGATTTGTAGATAATCACTCAGTTTAAAAGATGTGTCTTTTACCAACCAGGGAAGAAGGCAGCATATTACCTGCATTATAATGAAATGATGTGCTTTAGTGTATTTTTATTCTATTGTATATTTATACTTTGATATGTTCTAATATGATTTAAATAGATCCTGTATCATCTGAACATTGCATTTTTTATTAAGTTTGACATTCTTGTTGCTTTTATTGTTATTGCTAATTGTGTAGTACCTTGTAACTTTAGGAAAGGTTTGATACAAAAAATATGTAATATAATAAATAGTTTTACTGCTACATCTGTTTCTTTAATTTTAACTGTTTCAAAAATGGTTTCTGTAGTTTCCCAAACAAATAAATAGACAAGCACCCAAAACTAAGTGTAGTAAAGATGCTGTTGGTCCATAGAGAGCTGCTCACATATGTACAGGTAATATGTCAAATGCATTTGATTATTCTGGACACATAATGAATGTTGGACTGTTGTATTCCCCTCTGCCGTTCCTCAGGGTGTCTTTCAGCTCGTACACTGTCCCAGTGTCTCTGAGAGCGGCTGTACAAGCCTCGCTCTGTTCAACACCGTCAGCACGCCGCTCTGCAGGCCCCGTCATGTCGCTTAAAACACACAAAGCCTGTGCCTACTAGCCCACACTCTCTGCTTTTTAAAGTCTCCAGCATATAGAAGAAATCATTCTGGCTTAAAATAATAAAAGGAAGAAAAACTGTCTTCAGAGTGAGCAAAACACTGTCCGAATATCTGATTTGCCTGTGGGTTTTTCATGATTTCCAGCTGTGTTATTTCATTGCAAAAGCAAACGCAACAGCTGTAGTCTTGCCCCCCTGAAGAACATGTCTGATCTTGGTGGTGATTCTCCATTCCTTTTCAAAGCCCAACCCAAAAAACTAACCATCAAAGCCTCTAAAAATACAACTCCAAGAGTCAAAAATGCAGAAACAATACCATTTTACCCTAGCAGAGAATACACACAGCCCTTTAAACACAAAGACTGAAACATGTTCCTCATATAAAGTACTTTTTTTTTAAGAAAAAGAAGGGAGCACAAAATGTACTCACACAAGCCTGGTCCTGTTAGTCAGAGTACATTGTTTAATGTGTTTGTGGCTGTGCACCACTAAAACAAGTTACAGTGAGTAGAGTTCAATATCTTTACAGTTCCCAGTGAACTGTTTTTTAAATGTAATCCTTTTCTTTAAAGATCCATGAGCAAGACAGAAAAAGACCTGAAGTCTGAAGCTTGGCAAGATTAATTTGTACAGGACAGAAATCATCCAGCATTGAGGTTAAAACCAGGAGTTCTCTAAAAGAACACTGCACCACCACAACATTGCATTAATGTTTACTGCAAGAGGGTAAAGGTCTTGTAAAACAAAGCAGTGATTCCTCAACCATTCATGTTCATTGTCTGGACTGTACCTGTTGTGGCTGTGCGAGACACTGACTTTGCCTCAAATATGACTGAAGCCTCCCCTGCAGCACAGCAGCCATCTGTCATCTGCCTCATGAATAAACATGAAGAGTATGAAAGATAATAACGGTTGAGTTTTGTGTTCTGTTTTCACAGGGCCACGGCGCGCAGGCCAAACACACACAATGAACAGATGTCTGCTGAAACGGGCCTGTGCTCATCCCCTGTGTGACTTCAAAGAAGGCTGTGTATTGGATGGAATCTGGCTATATTATTTGTATGATGATACAGGGGTTAGGATTTTAGATCATTCAAAGCAAGAAGATATTACGGAATTCAGAGATCAAATTTAAGAAAAACTGTCAGCATAATGACAAACCCATTTTGTGCATAAAATCTGACTAAAACACAATTGTTATGCAATCAGAACAGTGAGATCTGCATTTACAATTGTCACAGTCCCAGTCAAATGAAGACATCATATTATTTATACAATATATAATTTGAGAGGGCGCATATTGTTGCAAATGAAATAAAGTGTAGTCCGAGTTAACCCCTGCATCTTTACTATTAATAAAAAATCAATACAGAGAATTGATACAGTATCACAAACCATTCAATTATGATAAGGTACTGTATGGATATTTTCTTATACCCTTATATAAAGCATGCCTATATTAATGATTAAAGATATACTTATATTCCTAAATTACTTTGAGACATCTTGTGCTTACTTCAGATGTGAACATTTCTTTATTTTGTTTGTGCTTCTTTCACTACCTGCCATTACCTGATGCACAAGGTGTATCGAGAAAACAATAGACTCAGCTGCCAATTATTTCAGCTATTACTAATGTGGTTTAATGCATCACCCCTGCAATAAAATCTATACTCATTACGTTTGCAAATTAAAAAACGTCATGCATATGTACTAGTTTTCCTATGGAGTAGAAGTTAAATCTCATATGTTTGGATTTGGACAAGACAGCACCCAATAAAATGACAACAAAATGTATTTTATACTGCATATGTGTATTACTGGTGAAAACACTTGCTGCACATAATCTACGGGGTTTCACATAGTTAATTTTATTTAATCACATTTCTAAAAGTATGCACAAACACGACATGCCGGGTGCCATTATGACTTCACATAACTTTTTTGGGTGAGTAATAGACACTTCTCCTTATCTCTTGGATAGAGTCAGAAACAGCTGTTGCAGGGAGTAAGAATGATCTCTTTGAGCAAGTAGACTCATCCTCACCTCCTAACCTCCGACCTTAATGAATGATGCCACTGTCCCTGCATGAGTGATGGAAATAGGGAAGTCACCAAAGGCAGGCCTGCTCTGCTGAGAGCTCGATCCCCGTCCACCAACACTGAAGGCACCTTAACTTAACTGCATTCCTGGCACAGTCGCAAATAATTGATATTCTAATTAATCATAGTTTATGAGCTATTCTTCCACTTTGTGAAGCATGTTTGAAAGAAAGAAATGACAGAAATCAGCCGATCTCACTCACCGTCCGCCCATTAAGCTCACTTCGCCAACAAGGTGTGTAGTGCTCGCAAGAGACAGAGCTCAAGTTTTTACCTTAATTTAAACAACAAATGTTCTTAGTCTGAGCCTTACCTGGCTTGGCCGGCTTTGGAGGAGGCTTCGACATTTGCAGGGCTCGAAGATTAAATAAAACTAAAGCTGCAGTGTGTTTATTTCAGGCTCAAACGACGCAGGAGTGGTAACACTTTGCTGCCAATGAGGAAGTGCAGCAGCACTACAGGCTAGCCGGAAAAGTTCGGATGCGCATGCGCAAAGCTATTTCATTTATTCTAACCTAATTTGTGTTTTACATTTTAGATATTTTGATAATATTTCATGTGAAAACCCTAAACATTGTATTTTATTCAAACATAGCTGTTACTTATCATTTAATCAAAAAAAAATGTGCATAATGAATGTATTCTTAATATAACTATCATTATAAGTAGTTTACATAACCTCCCTTTTTGTATAGAATATTTCTAATTTGATTTGTATATTACTTAACCTCATTTCAATCAATTAAGATGTTATTATGTATAATGTTTAACGATATTTAAAGTGTGTTTTCATCTCCTTTGTTTTTAGGTAAGATGCATTTATTAAATGTATTTGTTATGTTCTTGAAGTAATAACAATTTTAAACGCATATTCAATTAGGTTTTTTGTGTATATTTTCTTTAATTAATAGACATCTGTTGTAATGTTGTAACACTGATTATTGATTCTTTCTGTATTCTCAATGTTTGTCTTTTTTTTCTCAATGGGTGGGTCTTTGGTGACGTAATAGCGTCATCAGCCAATCATGAGCGTTCTAAGGCGGAAAAGCCTGAGGGTACAGAGTTGATGTAGCCACTACATGCCTGGCCACAAGTTAAGTTTGCACATGAACTGTACATTAATTAGCTTTTTCTAGTATCTTTTATATTAAAAACTTTGCAGCGAGCACCCCCAGCAGGCTGAAATGAAGACACTTGTTTTGGGAGTTGGTGGGTAAGTAAGCCGTTAAATGTGTTGGTGTATTAACCCTCTTCGTTTGAGATTGTGATTAATCGATCATGAAATGTTTGTTGGTTTATTGTGATGAGTGGGAAATAGAGGGAGACTGGACCACAGTTCTTGCATTAGCCTCCTATGATTAAATTACCTGTTAACATACATCCAGTGGGGGGCAGCAGGGACTCATCAGATCAATAACATGTGACAACCTTGTGGCAGATAAGACTGATAAGAGGTGGTTATTTTTCAGAGAAAAAGCAACACGTGTAACCATTCTGATAGTAAAAAAGAGAAATCAAAATGTCCATCTATCTGTTATATCTGACAATGATTCATTGTAAGAATAGAAAATGTTTTTCTTTAAGGGAATACTCTTTTATAAAGTCTATAATATAGCTTTTCTTGCATTTGAATTCAGCACAATTAAGTACATTGTGACACACAGATATGTTAATTAGTTGCATGCATTTCAACAGATGTCATGCAAAAAGTGTGCATCAATTCTTTAGTTTCTTTTGCAATATTATTATTTCAAGGTTAGATTTTTTGTGTTTTTAATGCAACTAAGTTAATTTAAGAAATAAACCATTTCAATGTGTACTGTTTTTCTTTCAGGGTGACTAATGGAGGTAAGTCTACTCTTTCTAAGAGTCTATACAAGCAGGTACCCAACAGCTGTCTCATTGCACAGGATGAATATTTTAAGGTATAATTCTTTAAATCATATCATTAAGTTTTGCACTTGCAAAAGTGAGAGTTTGAGAGATCACAGTAGAGTTTTTTTATTTTCAGGATGATTCTGTGGTACCAGTGGACATCAATGGGTTTAAGCAATATGACAGTAAGGAGACTTTATTTAACTGTTTGTTAAGACCCTGAGGTCTTTGGTGATTTGTTTCGGATTTTTATCTACCTGGGGATGTTGTTAAATGTGCAAATGGTTGGTAAGTTTCATGAAATAATAACCAAATGTTAAAAATGATTAGAATATCACATTAAATTAATTAAAACAAAGTCAAGCTCAATAATCTAATCAGAGAATGATTGAAATGTTACCAATAAATTACTTAAATGTGTATTTGATGTCTTAATTATATAGAGTAGTCATTAAGAGTACTCGGCAGTCAGCAAAGTAAATCCTTTTGTTATCTTGTATTCTATCGCAGTGCTTGATGCTATTCACATGGACACCATGATGAGAGAGGTGGAGTCCTGGCAAAAAGACCCCGTGGCTTTCCTGCGGCAGCGAGGCCCTGAACACACCACAGCATCAGCAGGGGAAGAGGAGGAAGAGGAGGTTTATGTGCTGATCGTGGAGGGCTTCCTCATTTTTAACCACAGGTACATAAAGAAGGCTTTCCTGAAAATACTGTGTTTATGACTGTTATCATTTACACCGTCTTTTTTAAAAAAAAAATCCTAAAAAGAACGAAGCAACTTGATATTGAGATCAAATGCAGTGTGACATTGGGCTTTACATTTATAAATTCAAATTGCTAATCAGCTGAATCTATCAAAATCAAATCTAGCATTGCTTTGAAAGAGGTATCTCTGAAAATCAACAAAAATGGTATAGCTATAATAAGTACTACATTTGATAACTGATCTGACAACATATCCCTTTTTATATTAGAGATATGGTATTTTTCTAAATCGTAATAGGTTAACTCTGACATGTTTTTGTTTGTGTTTTCAGGCCTCTGAATGAGCTAATTTACAAAAAATACTTCATGGAAGTTCCTTACGATATCTGCAAAAGGAGACGAAGGTGTGTGATGTTATAATCAATACACATTATTTCTTGGTTTACCTGTTTTCATGGATATAGTTTCACTTTCATTTAATTGTTTAATATTTGAGAAACGTCGTGTCTTCCTGTTTTGACCTCTCTTGTTGTCTTTGATTGACAGTTCAAGGGTGTACACACCTCCTGATCCTCCAGGATACTTTGATGGATACGTGTGGCCAATGTACCTGAAGAACCGTCTGCAGATGGAGAGCATGGTGTCTGGAATATGTGAGTCAAAGATGTCATGAATAAAGTTTGTTTCTAATCAGATCAAAACTTGAATTGATCTGGAGCATTAGGGTACTTAGTGTGTTTTGAGACCTCAAAGATAGGACATTTAAAGGATTAAAACATTTATCCGTTTTTCTTTTTTAGTATTTCTGGATGGACTGAAGCCAAAGGAAGAGTTGCTGGCTGCGGTGTGTAAAGATGTCTGTCAGGAAATAGAAAGGCTCAGGGGTGAGTTCCTTAGGATTTACTTCTTCTTATGTTTTCCAAGATTTGTATGGGGCTGTCTTACAAGCATTCAATTATGATTTAAGTTATTTGCAGCTGTGAGTAGAGCGTTATTCTGCCTTGTACAATGCATTGTGTGCCAAAGAGTATTCATACTGCACATTCCTACTGCATTAGGACATTTTCTGTTTGGCTTTTGCTGTGTGGGCTTACTACATACTTAAGAATATGCCTATGCATATGTAGTATTCAAATGAGCCTAAACAATACACCTACAACAGATTCAAGTTGACTACTATTTTATACTAAGTATGTGTTTTCATTGTTATTTGGGAATGTTTGAAATTAAAAAGAATGCATATCGGTGGGATTGTGGAGAGACAGGCTTAAAGTTTGCCAAAGATCTTTTAAACCTTCAATTCAAAATACAGTATTTAACAAAAATATTGAAGTTATTGTTATGTGTTTTGTTTGCAGAGGACGACTGAAATGTTTGGAGTTTTATTTGTTTACCTTTTGAAGATGGAAACTGCTGCTCCTATGAATGTCAGGAAAGTTCAAATGTTTTGGCTTGTGTGACTTTAAGGACCAAATCAAGTATTAATGGCTATGTTAAACCTACAATAGTTAATGTAGCTCAAATGTGAACTAGAATATTAACCATACACACACGTATAACCTCAACTTTTTATGTGACTCCAGATAACCAAATAGTGTGCATCATTGCTAAAAATAGTATTAAAGATTTTTCACTCATATTTTAAACTACGATAATTGAATACTGTGGTTTAGTGAGCCTCAATATTTGTTTTATATCATTTGTCAAAGGTTACAACTGTGAATTTGTAACATTAGTGCGAGGTTGTCTCCCTCTGTTGGTTCAGTCTGATAAACTTGAGACAGACTGGCGACCAACTTGTATTATTCTCTTTTCAACTGTTCTAAGCAAATACAAGGAAAGAAGCCGCACAACAAAAAATTACATCCTAACAAGCATGTTGCATCTGTCATTCTTCTTTTATAATCATTAAACCAATTACATTGTGAAGTGAGAGTGTCCAATCTTGGAGCATCTTTTTGTACGTATGAGAGGAAACTGGAGTAAAAGATAACACAAAAATGAGAAGTTATGCACATTTCTGGAATTCCCCAAAGTTACTGTTGACCAGCCTCACGCCAACAATCTCCCTCTGTGCATCTTCCACCCTTTCACATCAAAGTTTTCATTTCATTATACAAAAGACTCACTTTGGCATTATATGCAGGGACCTTATAACCACCAGTACTATACTGGAATAACATTTCTTGGCACCAGTTTTTCTGTAAATCAGGTAGTTTGTAGTACTTTCAATCAACAAAACGTTATTTAGGAATAAGCACCTGTGGATATAATATAACTTCAAAAATGTTTAATATAAACCAAGCCTTATGTTCTTCATAAAACATGGCCAAAACATAAGCTCATAATGAAGAGTCTGTCTATCTTACACTGTACTGGTGTAAAATCCAATTGCCAAAGTCAACTGACCTCAGTGATTTGGGGCTCCCAGGTCTCTACTGTATCAGGCAGTATCACACTTTGCAGAGTGCGTCATCTAGCCTCCATTCCATGGTTTGGACTGATTTTAACATTTCTTTATACTAGCACCCACACAAAAAGGCTCATGAGTGAACTTTAACGCACATTTCTGCCGATTGAAGGTATTCCGCTTACCCTTACCCTATTTGACCTATAGTTAGACAGAACATACACATCTAAAACACACATTTTGCTCCCAAAATAATTTTAGAATAAGACAGCTGTGCACTTCCATTTATCCAAAAAGCTCTCATGTTTCAAACTCTTTTGTTCTATATTAGATTTGAACCACATCTCACAGTCTGCATTGGTGATTTATGATTGCTAACTTGATATAAGAAATGTGTCTCCTGTTACCCAATCTGTGTTGAAATATGTTCTGTTGCAGTATCTTTTTTTATTATTGCATCAGAGAGGTCCGTTTG